TTTTAATATTAATAAAGGTAATGTTATATTTACTTTTTTTTCTCTATTACGTATATAATTATATTTTCATTATACTAATCTTATTTTATTTTCCACTATAGTATATTTAATGTAAAAAAACAAGTAATAATTTGATAGAATTTATTTCAATTCATTTTTATTTGTATAAGATGTATGATTTGTATTATTTTATAGGTTATTTAGTCTTTAATTTTTAAAAAGTCCTAATAATTAAAAGTTACAAATTATAAGACTTAAATACGAACCTCTGCAGAAAAAAAAAACTAATCATCATTAATATACATATTTAAAGGGTAACACTTTTATGTGTATCTAGTCACATATGATTTATGTGGCTAAGATTCTTTTCGCGTTCTCGATTCAATAATCATTTTTTTTCACTTTAATCATATGTGATTAAATACATTTAATCAGATGTGATTATATGTTTCTAATCACATATGATTTTATTTGGAAAAAACAAATCTCGTCTATTTAAATCATATGCGATTAGATACATACAATCACATGTAATTATATACGTGAATGAAAAAATAAATCTTGTCCACCTCAAATCATATGTGATTATATACATATAATCACATGTGATTAATTACACAAAAGCAATTATTCAGTCGAAACCGCAAAAATAAATATTGTCTATATAAATCATATCTGATTAAATACATATAATCACATGTGATTATATGTATCCAATCATATATTATTTATGTAGATGAGATTCATTGTCACATTCTCGATTCAATAATTGTTCTTTGTCCACTGTAATCATATGTGATTAAATACATATAATCATATATGATTATATGTATCTAGTCACATATGATTTATACGGACAAAAAACTAATGATGTCTATATAAATCATATGTGATTAAATACATATAATCATATATGATTATATGTATCTAGTCACATATGATTTATACGGACAAAAAACTAATGATGTCTATATAAATCATATGTGATTAGATACATATAATCACATATGATTATATACACAATAACAACTATTGAATCGAGAACACAAATATAAATATTGTCCACATATATCAGATGTGATTAAATGCATATAATCACATGTGATTATATGTATCTAATGACATAGAGTTTTTGTGGAAAATATTTATTTACGTGTTCTCGATTCAGTTTTTGTTCTTGTGTGCTTAATTATATAATATTATATGTATCTAATTAGATATGATTTATATGGACAATATTCATTTTCACATTCTTGTTCAATAGTTCTTGTACAGTTAGTCATATATGATTTATGTACACAAGATTCATTTTCGCGTTTTTGATTAAATAGTTTTTCTTTTTCCACATTAATCATATGTGATTATACATAAAATCACATATGATTAAATACATAAGAAAAAAATATCGAATCATGAATATTATCGATAAAAATCATATGCGATTTGATACATATAATCACATGTGATTAAGTACATGAGTACAACTATTGAATTGAGAAAAAAATAATGAATCTTGTCCAAATAAATCATATGTGATTAAATACATATAATCACATGTGATTAAATATATTAGAACAATTATTGAATCGACGCAAGAATAAATATTTTCCATACGAATCACATGTGATTAAATAAATATAATCACATGTGATTAAATACACAAGAACAACTATTGAATCAACACGTGAAAACAAATATTGTCCATGTAAATCATATGTGATTAAATACATATAATCACATGTGATTTGATATACGATGCCAATTATTAAATCGAAAACACGAAAATAAATACGGCCCACGTAAATAATATTTTATTAAATACATATAATCACGTGTAATTATATGAATATAATCACATATGATTTACGTTGACAATATTCATTTTTGCATTCTCGATTCACTAGTTTTTCACGTGTATTTAATCACATGTGATTATATGTATTTAATAACATATAAATCATATATGATTCGATACATATAATCACATGTGATTCGATACATATAATCACATGTGATTATATACACGAGAAAAACTAATGAATCAAAAACACAATAACAAATCTTTATAGGTGGGGTGGGGGTGTGGGCGGCGGGTGGTGGAGGCGGGGTGGTGGTGGTGTGTGGTGATGGGTGGTTATGGGTGGGTGGGTGGTTGCAAGTGGTGGAGATAGTGATGGGTGGTGGGTAGGTGTGGATGGTGGTGGCGGGTAGTGCTGGGTGGGTGGTGATGGTGGTGACGGGTGGTGGTGGTGGGTGGTGGTTGGTGGTGGTGGGTAGTGATGGGTGGTGGTGGCGGGTGGTGGTGGTGTGGTGGGTGGGTGGTGTGTGGTGGGTAGTGATGGGTAGTGGGTAGTGATAGGTGGTAGGTAGTTATGGGTGATAGGTAGTGGTTGGTAGTGGTGGTGACGGGCGGTGGTGGTGGTGGGTGGTGGTCGTGGTGGGTAGTGGCGGGTGGTGGTGTGTGGTGGGTAGTGATGGGTGGTGGGTAGTGGTTGGTGGTGGTTGGTAGTTATGGGTGGTAGGTGGTAGTTGTTGGTGGTGGTGGCAGGCGGTGGTGATGGGTGGTGGAGGTGGGTGGTGGCGGCGATTGGTGGTGGTGGTGGCGAGTGGTGGCTGTTGATGGTGGTGGTGGGTGGTGGGTAGTGATGGGTGGTGGGTGGTGCATGGGGGTGGTGGTGGTGGTTAATGATGGGTGGTGGTGGTGGGTGGTGGTGATGGGTAGTGGTCGGTGGTGGTGGGTAGTGATGGGTGGTGGCGGGTGGTGGTAATGGATGGTAGGTGGTGGTTGTGGGTGGTGGTGGCAGGCGGTGGTGATGGGTGGTGGAGGTGGGTGGTGGTGATGGGTGGTGGAGGTGGGTAGTGGCAGCGAGTGGTGGTGGAGGCGGGTGG